TGGAGACACGATCGTTGGGACAAGAGCTTTATTATCCTGACGTTTCGGATTCCTGCTCGAATCCATCATCAGAGACAAAAAAGCAGAAACGGGTGGTTGTTGCACAAGGGGCTGCGGTATTGATAGGATGCAGTAGCCATGCTACCGCATACCTATGAACATTCACGGCTCCCCCCCTTCATCCGAGATCGTCGCACGTGGTGTGATCACTGCTTGATGACCGACATTCGGGTCGATAATTGTTGCAATTTCATCACGTGCGTTGGATGTTGGCGTGATGATTGCTCGACCATCTGACGCACCGACCCCGGTGTTGGGAAAAGTGTTCACCTCTGCACTCCCCGCATGGCTTGTTACTCCGCCTAGGCGAAATTTTAGCACGCAGTATGGAGTCGGCAGATCGTTGCACTTGTTGATGGACTGGGGGCCAGTAAACCATGATTCCAGTAGCTCCTGGCTCACGCGGTTGTCACCTTTTGCGAGAATTTCGCTCTTGTCGAATTTGAATGTGTGGCCGGATCTCGTCGAATGGGCCGCAACTTAGGAGCTGGCGTCATTTCTGCGCACCGCTGCCGCGTGTTCGGCCATTCTCGTTCGGAGCTGTCTTCCGGTATTTCCGACGTAGTTGCTTTGTCCGCAACTGCAGAAGATCCGATAAACGACTCCAGACGTTTCTAGCCGTGGCAGTGGGTCTTTCGGTTTCATGACCAGACGCCTGACGGTTGCCTCCGGTCTGTGTGCCACTCCAACCCCAAGTGGTGCGAGAAGGCGGCCGACAGCTTCCGAAACGTTCTTGAGCCTCGACCTGTTGCTCACTCGAGATGCCAATTCGCACCAGTGGTCATATTGTAGTGGTCTTCTAGTACTCCGAGTCCTTCCAATCTGATTCATCTGAATAACTGGCAGGGAGATTTTTCGAGCATGCGAACGCAAGTCTCGGAAATACCGTGGACAACCACATTGCAGGGAACAGTTAACGAATACTAGTGCACGTTCAGCTCACTGAAAGAAAGGAACAAACAATCGTCGGTCGTGGATAAACCGGGAAGTATAAATCGCATTTAAAAGGAAAAATAATTCATGGAGACGCTATTGGCTAACAGAGAGTTCTGAACACCTGCGGGAATATAAGGGACAGCGGAATGTGTGTAAACGTGAGGCTAACAGACTTCGAAGGGTCTGTGAACTATGCATATTGCAAAAATCCTGGGAGCATCCTTAAATCCTCAAAGGTTACGTAGCGAAAGAAATCGGGACCCGAGTCCGGCGCCGAGGTCCCCAAATGGAGTAATGACGAAATCCTTCATCGTTTACACTGGAAGACAATCTTTACTGTAAAGAAGATGAGCGCATGAAAAGTGGCCTTCGACCACTATGAACCTGCATTTTGGCGCCGGTACGTGGACGACAAGTTCGTTATAACTGAAAGGAACAGACTGGCCGTCTTCCAAGACCTGCTCAACGGCATCTTCCCGGACATTCAGTTCGCAAGGGAAGAAGAGCATGACGAACAGCTGCCTTTCCTTGACGTTCTCGTCACACGCACACCCAACGGCAAACTCAACACCACGGTGTACAGAAAGGCGACTAACACGACTCAGATTCTCAGCTATCACAGTAACCACCCAATGGCGCATAAACGCATAAACGTGTTAGGACACTCTTCCAGAGGGTAAAAACGCACTGCAGTGAACCCGAGGGACGAGTACGAGAACTTCGGCATCTTCGGGACCAACTGGGAAGGAATGGATGCCCGAACAGCTTCGTCAGTCGCTGCCTCCGCACGCACCCACGACGAACAAACGGAGGAGAGCCGTCAACACTCTGACATCCTCTACCATATATAAAGAACGTGTCCGAAGCGATTTAACGTATCGCTAGATAGCTAGGCGTGGGTATCTCTCACCGTCCGACAGCGACCATGCGCAACAAAATCATGCAAATGAAGGATCGCCTAGACGTGGAAGAACAATCGGGTGTCGTCTATCAGATCCCATGTCGGGACTGCCCTCGCCACTACACAGGACAGACCGGACGACGACTTAGCTCACGAATAACGGAGCACAAACGGGCGGTCCGGAGAGGCGACCCGTTGTCTCAGGTCGCCACTCACACCCTGGAGGAAGGCCACGAATTCAACTTCGCGAGCACGCGGATAGTAGCGCTGGACAACAATAAGACAGGGCGAGAACTGTTGGAGGCCTGGGTGTCTGACCCAACTCTATCAACAGACACGTTGACATACCCCCCCCTGTTATCACGCGTTTCGTTACCGCGGCCAAGAGGCGAGACCCCAATTTGCAGCCAAGGGTGCACGCAGTCACGTCACCGTGAGACGGCGTGGGACTCAGCTTATCGCGGCTACCACCCTCTGCACTCATATCTCCCCCCCCCCCTCCTTCATGGCTTGACTACAAAAACTGCTCATTTGATGTCGCATTCTCACAGTCTCTGACGATGGCCTCCTGTACGAGACCGAAAGCTCAGACTAATACACATACTGTCCCAAAGATCGTGTGTCAATCTTCTTTACAACAAGAACCAGGGATTCGCATATTCGCTTTCATCCGTGACAATCTTTACTTCCCGCCCACGTTGATAAGGCCCGAACTAGGCCGGTTGAAGCCTGCAAATCGCCTGGTCCCAAATAGAATTCATCCACTTGTTTGATCTAAAGAGCTGGCAATCAATCAGTTGTGCTGACGACGCGAAAAAAACTACTAAAAGTTGGCAGTTCCGTAGCGCGATCTTTGCGCGCCCCTCTATTATTGTGGAGGGACGAAAGAGAATGCGTATTGATCGATACAATATTGGTTCTGACTTATTCTGTCGTCGTTCAGCCAATCATGGCCCTGATCGCCAGCTGGGAGGAGAAACAGACACAGTGAGAAGGCCTCTGGGCCAACTGGAACACTCTTTCTAATAGGTTACCTCTTTTAAAAACCCTTTAACAAGCTAGTTTTGCTGATGGATGCCTGCGTACTTTACTTCTTCCCGAGGGGAATTCAGACACACATGCTTACGTCAAGGCTTAGTCCTTTTATTTTAGATTTATACCACGAGGGCTGTATAAATATTAAAATATTGCTAAAATCGCTAATATTCTGCCAGTTCCGTTTCTAAATTGCGCATTAGTTATAACTAGACCGTTTGAAAGGTATCCTACCGTATGCTTGAAAGCTAACATAAAATCAGACATATTTGTTAATTGGGTTTTTTTAAGATCAAGATGATGTCTAAATTTTTTAAAAAATAACCCTTTTTACATCGTGATCTATACAATTTAAGTCGAAGAAGAAGAAGCAAGTTTCAAGTGCGGCGGGTTCTGTTTGATAGACTTTTGAGAGGGATTGCTCATTTCTATTATAAAAACGCACGAATGCACAAACTTCTTCTTGGACTGCCTAAATATAAAGTAAAATTCGCCCAAGCAAGGATATGGTATGTTTCCTCTTGTAAAGATCGCAGTTAGCAACAAACCTAACGCCAGTCAGTGCCTTTAGGGAAAAGTCAGACGTAACTGTAACCATAAATCAAGTCCCAAAATCCTAGTCTCCATTTCAAATTCAAACCACAGCTCAAGCCTGGAAACCCTATTCCCAAGAATAGTCCAACTAACATCAATTTTAGCCGTTGTCCAAACCCTGACTCTGAGCCTAATAAGGGCGGCTTTAATATCAATAAAGCTATTTGAGGTTAAAATACGCATTTCGCGACATGGTACCAGACAAACCGTTAAGAAGCATACCAACCACTCAGGGGGTTGCATACCCTATCCTTACATTTGCCTAGGTCTATTGACATTTTGTCCGAAAAAAAAATTATGCGCAAACATATTCCACATGTAAAAGGAACATTTTCAGGAAAGGGCTAAACGAGTAAATATAGTGTGCAATACATAAGGAGCACAATTAGTCGTCTCAGTTTTTCTCACCACCTTTCGTGAGTTAGGTCAGACAACGTATGTTTTGAGCATTGGAATGTAAACTTCCCCAATTTCAATTATTATGCTGCTTGATGGAAGTACATTGCCGCACCAAAGTGCGATAAACATTTGATTATTTTGTTTACTCTGTCAAAAGTTTAAAAAGACTTTTCAACTGCTAAGAGCCTACCGCCACTGCTTTTGCCATCCTATGCTTGCGCTTGTTATTGTAATGTTTATTAAACACGCAAAATTTGGATTAATGCAGTAGCACTTACCGCGGGAATTTCGAGGCGGTGAAGGAAGAATAAATGAATCACCCAACTAATCCCTCATTCTTGGAAAGGGAACCAGTAAACACGACACAGTATATGTGTTAAATCAAGAAATTGTCTTAATCTTACAGACATTTATAACCTCACGGAAACTGGCCCAAACGAATAAACCTAAACTTCCAAACTAGTGATGAACGACTGTGAGTGACGTAAGACCATAGAAAATATTAAAAATAATACTGCACCCCTAAAACTTGTATAGATTGTTAACACCTCTGAAATTTTGCTGTAAAAGCAAAGCGACAAAAGTTTCTCAGTCTATCTCATATGAATATGAGAGATAGTTGCACAGATATTTTAATTTTTTGATCCACAGCTTCCCTGTCCTGAACGGTCGGTCCAGGCGAGACAACGGTCAGATCGGTTGGTACATTAGCGCGATGATTACCGTGGTGCCATCAATTGTTCCTGAATTACACAAGTCAACTTAATCTCTCTATAAGCAGGAACTAATTAACGTTTCCTCGATGAAAGCAAATCGACGCGTCATCATGTAATCAGTCAATTTATCCAATCCTAACATGCGTTTATGGCGGCATGCCAGTGAAGTCAAAAGAAAAACGTGTTTGCGTTTTACGTATCTTCTTCACACCTTGAAGTAGTATCAGATTTACAACAAAAATCTGACTGGCGATGTTCAAATGACCGTTATGAGAGCTGACAGAAAAAAAACTGTCCAATTGTAATTTACGTTGAGAGTAGATGGAGGAATTTGCTTGTGTAGCCGACAGATCGACTCTTTAATTGCCGCTCAGAAGCACATTCAAGGTCATCAAGGCTGCAAGAGATACGCTCCATTTAATGTGATTCAACGCGCCTGATGATCTGCAGGATTGGGGCCATTTAAGAAAGTGTGTTGGATACATCAGGATGGGCGCGTTATCGTATGGCGAAAATTGGTAAACTTCCCCATAACCAGCACTGCCAGCCAAGGAGAAAGACAGGCTCTCATTTTCCATACGTCCTGTTACGTGCATGAGCTTGTAGTCCTCGCCGTTGATTCGTTCTTGAAATAAAGACCAAAGTTAGTTATTTTCTTTGCACAGTGGACATAGTAAAATTAGTGGCCGATCTCTTGAAATGTTGACAAAAAATTGCGAAATGCGTATCCAATTGGAAAAGATTGCTTTAGTGGGTTGTAGTATTTACTATCCTGAGACAAAATGCCGTGATATTACGCACACATCAGGATATTGGTCTTTGAATGTATTTCTTTTCGGTTGCCTGTAATGACTGCATTCGGTGAGAAATGGCTAATAAATTAGTATGCATTTTTCCCATTGATTGTCGATGCCCTCGTAAATTAAACATATTTCGTGAAAAGCGTAGGGAACAGTATTCTATCTGGCACTCAATTCGTAACAGATCGATCTTTTTTACATTTTTTACTCGAAGGAAAGGCATCTTTCGGTTTTAAAAGGGTTTCCAGTTATGCGATTTTAAGGTTGATAGATGGGCGCTCACCGATCGTTTCTACGGAACTCGCCCGTTGTGCCTTACGGGCTCTCTCTCTCGAGCCCAACCAGCAGCCGCTCAGCGGCGCATGATATAGGCAGAATGGTATTATCGACAGAGACAAGGGAGACTGGAATGGGCACTTCCGGCTTATTAGACGTCGTCAGCCAATCATACCCAACCCCGAATTGTAGAACAGTTGGGGCTTGAACTTGCGACCTGTTAGTTAGAAGTCCAGCGTCTCTAACCACTGAGCCATGGGCTCGTTGCCTTGTCGGTTGAGACCGGGAATATACAGTGGTAGAGGGACGCTCACCGATCGTTTTTAGGTTGGGCATTCTATTTGTCTGTTCAGTAACGTCTCTCATGAAGAATAGGAAATATCCCACATCCGTTACAAAATTATGTTAACTTCACATTGCACCGGCTTAATGGAATAGAGGAATGAATGTCTTTCATCACACGGGAAGTACACAGTTAGTAGACTAAACCTCCTGAACAAAAATGTGACGTTAGATCGAGTCCTAAATTATTCTTGACTTGCAAACCATTTTTTAAACCGAAAAGCACCCTGTCTTTGAGTCTAAAATCAGACGAAGGCGTGAGTTGCTGCTAAATAATTACGAGGAAAAGTACTTTCGTGCATGATTTTGGCAAAATGTTTTTGCATTTATAAGGACATCTAAAACCAATAGAAAGCACAAACTAATTTAGTGGTCATTTTTTACCGAGTAGGGTTTTTGTAAGCGGCCTAAAGAAAGCGCACCTAAAAGCAAGTATCTTGGGGTTTGTCAAATACCACGGCATTATGTCGCAAGACAATCAATATTGCACACAAACTTGAGTAATCCCTTCTAATCGGATGCTTATTTTATAATTTCGGACCATACTTCATGAGATCGGTAAAGTAGTTTATAACGTACCGTATGGGAGAATTATTTGCAGGCTTTTGTTGACTGAACCCGGTTCATATCTGCTTATGTTTCCCAAGAGCCTGACATCCTTAAGACAGAAAAATGGATTCAACAAAACTCTTGCAGTATTTTATGAATCACAGACTTTAAATTCATGCAGACATATAAAACCTGCGAGTCAAATTAGGGAAACCAAAATGCATATGTCCTGAGTTACCCCTATACTTCCATCCAAGACTACAGAAATCGGCGGCGAATAGAACGGGTCGGAGATAAAAGGTTTTATGCAGCTGGCGCCGGGAAGCTCTGCAAGAACGTTGATTCATGAAAGTACAGTGAAGCGTTACTGAGATATATCTCTTATTTAATAGTAAAAATAAAAGTTACTTTTTATTTGAAAGCAAAGAACACGAAAAAATATACCTGGGAAAAACTCATTTTTGTTCACCACGACGATTGCGATGTGAGCAAGCTGAGAGTCTTCGGGTGCGAGGATGACCGCAGAGTAGTTTTCTTGGGTTCCTCCTTTGATCAAAAAACTCTTTTTTCCTGCAATGGATAAGACGGTCAGTGAGATCCTATTATTGGGCCTAAAAATCTATACTTCAGCTACATAAAAGCCTTATTTCAGGTCTGCAAATCTCTTAGAAATTATTACCCTGCCTAAACTTATTACGGTCAATTAATGCAGTATTTTACCTATCGTGACTTACCTGGCGCAAGAGGGAAATTAAAACAAAAGGCATTGGATTTCTACTTCTATAAATCGACAGACTCCTCTAGCGTTTGGAAAAAATGTCATTCTCTGTAAAGGAACACAATTAAACGGTTCATTAGAATCCAATACATTTAGACAGAGGTTGGGATGGGCG